TCTATCCACAATTACCCAATTAGAATCATTCCCCCTCACAGTCTTCGGCAAACCCGACACAAAATTCGTGGAAATACTATTCCATTTCCACTCTGGAATATTCAATGGTTGCATCAGATCCAACGGTCTTTGATGTTCAATCTTCGACTTCTGACAAGTTTAACCAGCAAACACAAACTCAGCAACTTCTTTCTTTACCCCTGGCCACCAAAACAATTTCCTCAAATCCTGGTACCTCTTCGTAGCACCAGGATGGATACTCAATCTACTTCGATGTCCTTCCTCAAGAATACTCTTTTTCAACTCAACAATATCTGGAACACAAACTCTATCACGACATCTCATGATACCATTTTCATTAATTCGAAAATCAGCTCTTCGACTTTGATCCATCAAATTCAACCGATCTACCAACTCAAATTAGATTTCTGACCTTCTCGAATCTCATCAAGAATACCACTAGTAAGCTTTAACATACCAAGCTTAACTTCATAAGAAGTCTCTTCACAAACCAAACTCATATCACGAAATTGCTCAATCAGTTCTAACTCTTTTACCATCATCATCGGTATATGCAAAGATTTCCTACTCAAAGCATCAGCTACCACGCTTGCTTTATCCGAATGGTAATTCAAATCAAAACAATAATCCTTCAGAAGTCTTAATCATCTCCTCTGCCTCGCATTTAATTCTTTCTGATCAAAGAAATACTTCAAACTCTTATGATCACTAAACATCTCAAATCTCGAACCAAACAAATAATGCCTCCAAAGCTTCGACACAAACACAACAACAACCAACTCAAAATCATGCGTCAGATAATTCCTCTTATGCATTTTAAGTTGCCTTGAAGTATAAGTTAAAACTTGTTGATGTTGCATTAACACACCTCTCTATCCCATCAACGAAGCATCACAATATACAACAATGGTTCTGTCGAATTCGGAAAAATCAAAACATGAGCTGCTGTCAGCCTTCTCAAAAGCTCTTGAAACCTTCTTCACACTTTACATCCAAAACAAAAGCTTGAACCTTCCTAGTGATACAAAAAAATTTCAAAATTTTCTCATAATCATAAAATTACAACAATGCTAAGGTATAATGATACAAGTCTCTGGTAACAACATCATTTGATAGTTTTTAACGGTATCAAAATATTTATTTTATTGTATACTTAAAAGATATATTTTATCGTTTCATTATTTTCATATTTTTTAATGCACAATATTTATATATTTTTTAGTTTTTTTAATTTATAGTCAATTAATTTTTTTATTTATTTTTATAAAAATCACTTTGTTAATTAAAATTTTAATATTAAATATAATTCAGACCGACTCGAATAATCAAAATTTGTAAAGGGTTAGACTTGGACAATTAAATTATAATCCATTTAAACTCTGTGTTTTTTGACCCAACCCAACAAAGACCCGAATCCGTTACGAGCCGACTTGAAGTGGATTGAGTAATCCGTTTTATCAACTCTAATTCAACTTATTTCTATTTTTGAAAATAAATTTTTTTATCTATTTAATTATAGTTGATGGATAACTTTACCAATTGGATCTGGTGTCAATTTAAAAAATATAGCTTTCAACTTTATAGTTTTAACAAGTACACAAGTATAGTAATTGTCAACAACACAAAAATAGTACTACTACGACACTAGTTACTATCAAGCTTCTGACATGAATATTCACGAGTAACTGATGAGCACAACCTTTTCACACTCGTTTTCATAGTGTCAGTATGTTCTTTTACTGGCTGTGAAAACTGAAACAACATAGATTAACAACAAAAAGTTCCAATGAGTTTTCATGAAAGAATCCAAATGGATGTATAAATGAAATAAATTGACATTGATCTCAATGAAAATGACAGCTTGTAAGTATAAAAAATACCATATTATAAATAGTATATTAAATAACACCTACTATTAAATAGTATTGGTTTCTTGATAGATATATGTATATATAATACCCTATAGCTACATTAAGAATAATGTCCCTCACATACAAAATTTTAGTCCTATTAACATCATACACCTAAAATTTGTCACTGCTCATTCTTACACAATAATAGTTACTGATTGTGATTGAAAACTTATTTTGACAAAGTGAGAAAAAAATTCTCAATTTTTAATATGTGTCTTTCCATGTAAATCATGAGATTACCTCAAACAACCTTCAAAGGGTTTATTGTTAATTAATTAAATAGATAAATGAGTTAAGTAAGTTATCCTTTGGGTGTGGTCAAAAATTAATTAAAGAGATAAGATTTTGAAATTAAGGGTATTTTAGGATAAGGAAACAAGAGAGGGAGAATAATTAAGTGGAAATATCAATAATTTAAACAAATTGATGACCCACAAAGTTTTAATTTTATTGATCATTATGCTTTGCTGATGTCTGCAAAGTATACTTGTGATGCATGAGAGCCAAAATGGGACCATTTATTAAGGGGGTCATGAGTCATGATTCATATACACATCATACATGCACTTGATTGGGACCCTTTGCTTTTGTCAAAACACTCTTTTTCTTTTCTCTTTTTTCAAATTATACTTTTTACCTCATAAATTATAGGGTGAATACTCAATATTTCTAATTATTACTCTATGTCTATACAAGGCATCAATAAAAGGAATTACTAAAATATTTTTAAATTGATTTTTTTTTTAATTTATAAATGTTAATAGTGATTTAATACATCAATATAAATAATGATGATATTAAGAATTTAACCGTAAATCAGTCATTAACACTCATATAGTTCAACAATATATATTAATTAATTAGATTTAATTACAATTTTGATCCTTGTATTTTGTCTAATTCACAAAATCAATCTTCTTATTTTCAAATCAAATAATTTTAGTCCTTTTTTACATCTTTATATTTAAAATTATCAATTTGTTCATTTTGCGAAACATTATAAATAAATAATTTATAAAAAAAACAGACATTTTATCAATTTGTAATTAAAAGAGTCATTGAAGGACTCAACTGTTTGATCTTAAAATAGGAGTAATAATTTTGTGAATTAAATTAATTTAGTTGGTAAATCAAATCAATTAATATTTAAAAAGTTCTGTTGTTAGTCAAAAAATTAGTTAAGTTAAAATGAAAAATAAATAAAACTCAATGTTTTATTATAATTATATGTTTACAAACTTTTTATTTTAAATTTTATATTTTTTCTAAAAAATTAAAAAAAATTATGGACATATTTTCAATTATGCGGCATACAATGATTATGTAGATTAAAAAAATAATTATAAAATTATAAGAGAATCATCTAAAAAAATTTAGTTTCAGCTTATAATATATTATTTTTGTATAATAAAAAATTAAAAAATAATTTAATTGAAATATTTTTTTTTACATTATTAATGAATTATAACCGTTACATTTTTATAAATATTTAACATTTTCTTTAATCATATATAAAATATAACTTATAATAAATTTGATGTATAGATCATAAAATATTTTATATTAATAATGCATAATAATTATTCTCTTAAAGAAATTAAGAAATAAGAGATAATGATTAGAATGAAATAAATATAAGTAGAAAAATGTGAAGGAAATATAATTTGAGCTATGAAAGCATTAAAGTTGGTGTTTTGGTGGTTGGTTCTGTATATCTTAGCAATTTAATTGCTTTATCTTCAAACTGTGGCATCCAACCACAAAAAATTCCCAAATAAGTTAATAAGAAAAAACTAAATATTAAAAATAAGAAAACGACAAAAAGATATTTAATGGAGAATTGAGCAATAAGATCCCTCCACCCGTTTTCTTGTCCATCATCATCCTCCTTTTTCATTTTTTCTTTCTTTTCCAATTTCTCATTAATTAAAATAATAATTAATTAATTATTTTATTAAGCATTGTAGAAGGAGACGTTTCCTCGTTTTTCATCTGTTTGTATCTTCTGACACACCTTGATTGCTTTTTCATTATATAGATTTCTCACTCACAAAACCCTCTCCCTCTCTCTCTCTCTCTTAAAAGTTCTCTCTGTTACTCATCAAAGGTTTCTTTGCTTTTCTTTTCTTTGTTTATGCTTAACTTGCTTCAAATGATTTGAAAAGAACATGGTCAAATCAATATATAACTTGTTCTTCTGATCTATTCAAAGGTACTATACTACTATAGGTGAATATAAAAGATGTGTATCTTTTTTACAACTCTTTCCTTTTTCAGTTTATGCTGAAATTGCAGAGATTTGTGTCTGACAAAGATGTTTATAGTTAGATAGATTTCATATTCATGTTCATGTTTATATGTTCATGTTCACATGTGATTTTTTATTTTATATGTTTTTTTTTTCTTTTCAATTTTGGTGGTTGAGAGTATAACATATTACTGTGCGTGAGCGTGTGCGCTTTGTCTATCTTTTTTCTCTCTTCTTCTCATGTTTGTCCAAAATCTGTTCCTCATAGGTTCATTTTGGGTTATTCTTATTCATATTCTTCTTTTCTTTCCAGTTTTCAAGTTTTCAAGAATATGAACCACCACATGTGTTCTTCAATATCATTCACACCAGGTATATTACATATTTAATACTACTATACTATACCTATATCTATTCTCTCATCTTCTACTTGAAACCATGCACAAAAATAGAAACTAAATATGAATCTTTCAAACTTGATTTACAGATTCATCGCTTCATTGTTTGTTTCAGAATTATTAATCTACATCGAGTTCATGGGTTGATCTACAAAGGTACGGTGTTGGGAGTGTTGCAAGTGTTGTAAACTCCGAAATAGTAATTTGATTCATAGTGATGAAAAAAAAGTTGAATACAATTGCATGTGTTTTTCAAGTACTTGTTTTTTTTTTTTTTAATGTTTGTGTTGGAACATGTGGTTGTGTTGTGTTGGATGTGAATATGAAAGGTTGTTATTGTAACTAATAACGTACTTGTGTTTTTTTTTTGATTTCAGTGAAGTAACAGATAACAGCGATATATTTAAACTCAAAAAATCAATGGCAACGTACTATCATGGTAATTCTGAAATTCAATCTGGTGGCGGTGGCGGCGGTGCCGACGGACTTCAAACACTTGTTCTCATGAATCCAGGTTATATACAATACTCAGACACGACACAGCAACCACAGGCTCAATCTCAACCACCTTCTCACGCCGCGGCATCCGGTAACTATGTTTTTCTCAACTCGACTGCCGCTGAAAACAACTCCTTCTCACCTCACGCGCCGCCTTCCAACACACAACAATTTGTCGGCATCCCACTCAACCACCAGCACCAACATCAAATCCACGCCCACCACGAGGTTGTCCCTTCGTTGCATGGATTCCTTCCGCACATGCAGTACAATCAGTGGAACACAATTGACCCTTCCACGGCGGCGCGTGAAACACCACGCGCTCAGCAAGGATTGTCTTTGAGCCTATCTTCCCAGCCGGCACGGTTTATGTCTTTTCGAGAAGGTCAGGCGGGGGGTATTTCCGGTGGCGGATCGCCGTCTCCGGCTTCTGGTATTACTAATAACGGAAACTCCGGGATTCAGGTTCTGAGTTCGAAATATTTAAGGGCGGCGCATGAGCTTTTAGAAGAGGTTGTGAATGTGAATAGTGGTGTTGAATTGGGGAAGAAGAACAAGATGAATATCGGAGAATCGTCAGGTGTTGGTAGTGGAGGAGATGGTTCAATTATCGGCGGCGGTGAGGGAAGTGGCGGGAAGCGTAGCTCTGAGCTATCAACGGCGGAGAGACAAGAAATACAAATGAAGAAAGCTAAGCTAATTACAATGCTTGATGAGGTATTAATTAATTTCTTCATTACACTAATTAAGTGATTAATCCTAGATGCTAATCTACACTTTAAATAGTACTATAGCAATAAATGACATGAATGAAAATGAAATTTTGTATGAATGAAAGGTTCTCAAACATAGTGAATTTTAGTCAATAATAGTTGGTGGTGCAATCATTGCTCTTTACTATGGTTATTTATCATCTTTCAACCTTGAAATATATATAATTTATCCACAGTTTTGAATTGCACTAACCATTGTCTTAAATCAGCTCAGTTGATAGTTCTGCTCAGTTGATAGTTCTGCAGTGAAAAATCATATTATTGATATAAAATAACTATCTATTTATTGGTTGAAGGTGGAGCAAAGATACAGACAGTACCACCATCAGATGGAGGTTGTGGTTTCGTCCTTCGAGCAAGCAGCCGGAATCGGTTCAGCCCGAGCCTACACTGCCCTCGCATTGCAAACAATTTCGAAGCAATTTCGGTGTTTGAAAGATGCAATAACAGGACAAGTTAGAGGTATAAATAAGAGCTTGGGAGAAGAGGATTGTTTTGGAGGTAAAATAGAAGGTTCAAGGCTGAAATATGTTGATCATCAATTGCGTCAACAACGTGCTTTACAACAGTTGGGAATGATCCAGCATAATGCTTGGAGACCCCAAAGAGGATTGCCTGAAAGATCTGTTTCTGTTCTTCGTGCTTGGCTCTTTGAACATTTCCTTCACCCGTAAGCACACTTTTCTAATTCTAACTCTTACTAGTACTTCAAAAACTCGGTTATATATTGCTAAAAGTAGTGTTATTTTTACGAACATCTCAAATTTTTGGAGTCTTATATATGTCAGTCGAAGTTTATTTAAACATAATTTATCTTGAACAATATTTTTTGAGACTGTATGTAACCACAGTTTTACGGTGACATATTTGAAACTTTTAAATTACCCACTTTATACGCCTTCAAAGATGATCATATTTACGAGACAACGCGATTAACCATGTACAATCGAGTAGTTTGAGCCAGATCTAAATATGGACTCAAAAGAGTCCACCCCCCATTTGTAATCCGTCCAATAGAACATAGCCAAGCTAGGCCAACTAATCGATCAAGTTGATCCGGCCAGCCTAGAACCAACATGAAAGAGTTATTCAAATTAGGGACGAGTGACAATGCATCTACGATCGAATTAGACACATCATGACTTAGAATCTAACAATTAAGTCAGATTGCTAGATACCATTAAGATCCATCAAAAGGAGGTGATCCTCTTAAATGATCTTTATGGTACTTAAATATTGTCATAGATGAAAAGACAAATATTTTTTAGATGTGATCTACACTCGAAAAGATATTTAGGTCTCTGACTAACTCAACACTGGTAAAGTTATCAATAAATGTACCCAGCGGTTTGTGAATAGCTAATAAGTTGCAACATCCATCTTATATTTGTTAATCATCCTTTAATAATTAATACTGATATTACTGAAATTTGTTTCAGTTATCCCAAGGACTCAGACAAGCACATGCTTGCAAAACAAACAGGACTTACTAGGAGTCAGGTAACCAATACTAGTTCTCAACATGAACAATTTGTTTCTTCTTACTTTTGTCATATTCAAAATGTTACTAAAATATGATTTGAATTGTAACAGGTTTCGAATTGGTTTATAAATGCTCGAGTTCGACTTTGGAAGCCAATGGTGGAAGAAATGTACTTGGAAGAAATGAAAGAGAATGAACTAAATGCATCAGATGATAAATCAAGCAAGAGCAATGAAGATTCTTCAATGAAAATAACACCCTCTCAAGAGAAAGCTCTTATTACCTCTGAAACAGAACCTAGAGGTTATAATTCAACACAAGACATTTCAAAGAACCAAGAAACTCAAATAATTTCTGTTTCTAGACCACAAACATCATCACTTGTTGGAAATGTTCGGAACAATTCAGGTTTCAGTTTCATAGGATCGTCGGAACTAGAAGGTATACCACAAACAAGTCCTAAGAAACCGAGGAATCACGAACTCATGCACACTCCTAATAGTTTCATTGATGTGAAACACAACGAGGCAAGTAATGAGCTGAAATTTGGTGATGAGAGACAAAGTAGAGACGGTTACTCTTTCATGGGAAACCAAACAAATTTCATGGGTGGATTTGGACAGTACCCGATTGGCGATATTGGTAGGTTTGATTCAGAACAATTCACACCAAGGTTTTCAAGTAACGGTGTTTCGCTCACTCTTGGTCTTGATTCAATACAAGGAAATCATCAAACATTTTTACCAAACCAAAATATTCAACTAGGAAGAAACATTGATATAAGTGAAACAAATGAGTTTGGTTCCATAAACACTTCTTCTCCTCAATATGAGAGTATCAACATGCAAAATCCAAAAAGGTTTGCTGCACAATTGTTGCCTGATTTTGTGGCATAAATAAGACATTAAAGGGTGAGCAATGTGGTTGCTGAAATTTCTTTCTTCTTATTGTCACTCTCTCATGAAAGGGAGTATTTGAAAATTTGTAGTGTAAAGAGAAAGAAAGGATTTTACTTTAGTATAGGTTTATACTCTGCATAGAACCATTTGAATTCTTAGATATATAGCTTAGGATTTGATGGTATATGGTTGAGGTTGTATATTATTTTTGTAAGTTCTATAGGTGGGATGAGATAGATGGGTTGGTGTCATAAATTTTAATTTGGTATACATACCAATATATATTTGATTGGGAATATATTGTTTTGATATTGTGCGATATCTTCTGTTGAATAAACAAGAATCAAATTGCCATTTACATTTTTAAGAACTCTGAGTATAAGGTTGTAGCTTGTAATTATACAAACTATGACTCTTGTAATTATACAAACTATGAGTCTATGACGGTTCAAAGTTTAACATAAAATTATTCTCAGTCCATATAGAGTTTTAAAATTATTTCTCAGTCCATATAGAGTTTTGTTGTATCTTCATTTGAATCAATGCTAGTAAACGGTAGGATTAGTCTATATAGAGTTTTGCTCGATCTTCATTTGAATCAAAGCAAGTAAATGGTAGGATTAGTCGGTCCTTAGGCTACATATCTGGAATACTCTCAATGCATGTTGTGGGACGAAGAAATTCTTCGACTTATAGCAATCAAATTACCACTTACAAATGAATGAGTTACACGCTATCATACCTACATAGAGCTCCTAATGTTTTTGTACCAGAAACTCCTTATTGATATCAAAACTCTTTTTTCTGCTATGCACAGTAGCAATTTGTAACAGAAATGTCTCATGTCATGCCAGCTACATAAATTCTCTTGCTCTTGCAGGTTATATTGTGACAAAACTTTTAACTTCAATCTTCTTGGCAACTCAAAAAGGTCGCATCCTTAGGATCAAGGAAAATGTTCTTTGATAAGTAGTTTCAACTTTCTCCATTTCTGTCAAAAGTAAAGATCAAATTGTCTTTTTATTATACAATAAACAAACACCATAGGACAATATACTGTTTATTATGTTGTGATGGGCGCCGGTTGGTAAACCATGCAACACTCCCCGACTCGAGCTACATGAAATTCAAACAGATCAGGCAAAATCATTCATTTAGTATTATTCGGCTATGCACTATTTTGTTTACTCAGGAATCAATTCATTTCAAAAATACATTCTCTACATTTCACAGTTAGAACTATAATGTTTTACATATTCTGCAAAGGAATTTACATTGATATAATGTGAATGGAGATGGAGACATTTTCAACATAGATGCCTCCTACAAAAAATATTCCATTCACAGGCAAAAAAGAGATGTTCTCTTCTGAATGCCTTGACTAGGCAGGAATTTTAGATTAGTACTCTAATCTCGAGGAACAGAATTCTCAGGAACTCGTCAAACTGAGTGTGTCATGACATGATCATCCTCTGGCAACGACAGTCTTCTCCTAGTAGCCTTGGACCTATAACACCATACCTCGAATGCCTCGGTCAGGTCTGGATACCGGATATGTTCATTTTCCAACCATTCAGTTAAAAGCCCTGCCTGATCCCCTGATGGCAATGCAAGAATTATAGAGACAAAACTAGATTCCATGGATTGCCACATTTCACCATCCATTTTAGGCAACACGGCATTCTCAGAATTCATCATAGCAGAATCAATCATTGGTTTCGTAGCCCTCACAAATGGAAGCCACAGTTTCAAAACCTGAAGACGATTTGCAGTTGGCAGTATAACAGTACCATAAGCAATTGCTTCTAAAACTTTTGAAGTTACCTCAACGGCTCGCAACTTTAACTCAACGACTCCAGTTGTAGAACTTTCTTGTTTGAGTACTCTGACAATCTTTTCTGATGCATCAAACCAACACTCAACAAAATCTCTCATTATTTCCAACTTACTCAATATCTGACAAACCCATGACAAATCAGTCAAATAGGATTGAAACAACAAGACGTTCCCTGCTTCAGAAAGTGATTCTGTTGAACCACAGAACAAATGTATCAATGAGTTGTTAAACTGGGAAAATAGTCTTTTCACACATTCTTTTACCTCAAGTTTTATCTTGTCATCAGGTATCAACAAAGGGGCATCATCATCCTCAGTTAGCATGTACTCAAGTTGCTCTTGCGCTGATGCTTTCAGATCACTCATCGCCGATGAAGGGGACGACGTAACAAAGCGTAAGGCCGAAAGAAAGATGTTCCTGATAGCTACCTCGTTAACTGGTTGAAGCCTAGCTAGGATAGGCTCAGCTTGCAATCCCATCCTCGGTACAATCTTCAATATCTCCTCCTCTTCACTCTCCTCCCATGGCATTGCTTCCAAGTAACTCACACACGCAGCAACAATTTTCGGGCAACCAAGCTCAACAGCCACTTGCAAAATCCCAAGAGTATTTCTCACACCATGCCACAAATCATCACCCGAACTATCATCATCGACAATGTACAAAAACCTAACAACATTTACATAGTAATCAAAATCCGATTCTTGGCAATTAATATCCACACAGTTGCGCGAACCTAGTATCTGACAAGTCGGCCAATTCTCAGAAAGCCGGTCAGCAAAATACTTGCAATTCTTAACAAGAATCGCCGAGTGACAATACATCCATTCATCTCGACCTTCTTGCGTCCGTAGCCTCACCACAATATCGCTAGTCGATTGATCACCAATTACAAACACAATCTTCTCTTCTTTATCCTTAATCAAAGAAAATAACAACCTAATTACTAATTACTAATTACAAATAAGATAAGAATCTTGAACCATTGTACTGTTGAACACATGGTTTATGGCTACATTTCAATTCAACAGTTACACTTGAAATTGACATGATTGAAGAAAGGTGGGAAAGAAAACTTACAGTGGGTTCCATTGAAATGAAGAAGACTATGAAGCAAGATTGGTTGAAGATGTCATAGTAGCTGAAATTATAGAAAAAAAAGGATTAGAGTTATGAAAGATAGAGGGATTGGATCTTGAAAGTGTGAAATGGAGTTAAACCCTAAGATGATTAGAGGAAATCAGCGGGTGCGGTTGGGAACGATGACGGAGAGAGATCTTTGGAGGATTTTGGGTTGCTCTGTTGCTTGCGTACTTCTGGTTCTTTACCATATATCCTTGTTGTAACCCATTTGCTACTTTATTTTTGTGTATTGTTGTTGTTGCTATTATATGCCAACTTGCCATAGATAATCTTATATATAAACCTAAATAAATCTAAAATCCGATCGATTAAATCAACTAGTTGTGCATAGACATGATTTTTAACTTGCGATATCCTATTCATTCATTTTAAAGAGTCAAGTCTAGTCTATAGACTACTTGATCAAAAATCAATCTAAAATCTTATATAATCTATAATTATCCTAAAAAAAATTATGTAGTACACCCTAAAATTTTTTTACTTTACTATTATGTAACGAAGGAGTTTTCAAATTTTTTATTAAAAAAATCAATATTTTTCGATACGACAAGTTAATTTATCTTAAGATTCTTTATTTATTTTTAGAATAAGAATCAAACTTTCTCCTATTTAGGAATGTCAACAGAGTAAGAAATATGCGGAGAGTACTTCTTCGCTCCCCACCCCGTTCTCCAATATTGAAATTTTCTGACACATGCAATACATGATGTGGAATCTGATGTTCCACCATCAGGGTACAATGTTATGATAGATGTTGTAACATTTGCAGATTAGTAGAACAATTTATCCAACCATTTAAATTGTGTAGAATTTTAAATGCAGAAAGATAAATAATATAAAGAATTGTTGACCCAGTTCAGTGTACAACAACACCTATGTCTAGGGGTTACAAAGTCAGGAAGAAAATCCACTATTAATAGTATCAATTTAGAGTTAAACTCTCTCGTTTACAACCTCTCACTTAATCCCTACTCAGTGCATCTTCTACCTAGGAACTCCTAGATATGAGAAATCAACATCTCACTTCAACCAATCACCTCAGTGATAAACCAACACTCCCAGTCCCAGGGAATGCCACGAGAAACCAAAAAGAAAGATGTATCATCTTTCTTTCAAGAACAACACTGGGTCAAGACTCTTAACCAAAAACAATACTCGGTTTTCCTTAAAAGCTTCAACCAAGAACAATATACAACTTAAATATATCTACCATGATGCATCAAACGATACAAAAGGTGATTTACAAAGTCATACACAAGAGACTCTCAAAACCTAAGTTTCTGAAAACTTTCCCTAGTTTTTTACAATAGTGAAAGCCATTGCTTACATTAGGTTAGAATTCCCTTTTAAATACATCTCTACAGTCTATGGGCTTTAAAATATGCATCCTGAAGTTTCTTGATCCACAAGCTGAGTGATGCACCAAAATTTCCTTAAATCTTGGAATAAAAGATACAAAGTTCCCTAAATCGTCTCAAGGCCCAATTTAGTAACATCTGCACCATTAGAGATACAAAACCTGTTCCAAATACAATCTTCTTGACTCTTAAAATATTTGAGATAATTCCAAAAGGAATCTTCACAAAATCAAAACAAATCGTGTCAAGAATTAAAACAGACAAAACATATGTTATGGTATGACATGTTCCAACATCTGTCAGCACATCTTCTCTCAAGGTGAGTTGAGGAGCATGTTACAACATCACACACAACTTCTTTTTGTAAACTATGCTTTAGCAAAATTACTGTCAATCCTTAAACCATGGAACTTACAATCTCCCCCTTTGGCAAATTTTGCCTAAAATACCTTTTGCATAATAAACCCTGGAGAGAGGAATAAAGTCACACAAAAAAACACACAACACCAGTTGCATTACATGTAATCATTGAAACTGTGTACATGAGGAAGATGATAACCTACATCTTCAAGAATATGTCTCTTACTCCCCCTAAACCACAGAACCAATTCTTGTCACTAAGGAATAAATCTCCCTCTCAAAACAGAAGAAGAAAGCTTTCTGAAGCCCAAGAACATCAACCTGAACACAGTCTTGAATTATCAAAATTCAAGATATTAGAAACACATATGGCAGAAACTAAAACATTAGAAACACATATGACAGAAATAGCACACGTAATGTAGAATACAAAACACAACAAAACACACAACTCAAGGTCCAGACAGGATGTTAAAAACATCTTGTAATACATTCTGCAAACAACTACAACAAAAGTAGCAGCAGACACCTGAGACATGACAGACACCAAAGTAACCCCAAAATTGTTGCAAAAAGACTCTACCACGGGACTGGACTCTTTTCTCCCCCTTTTTAGCCAAAAATTGACAAAACTATCCCAAAATAAAACACCAAAAACAAGAAAAAGAACACCACATTAACCTAACAAAAATTACTCACCCAAAGAGGCAAATGCTAAAAACAAAAAACTCAGTGGAAACACAAGACCCAAGCAACACGAACATACATAAACTAACCAAGAATTCCTCCAGTGAACTCGACTTGGTCTTCATAAGCATCTTTAGAAGATTTACTCATGTTGAAATGCATATAGAAGAAAAGGTGAGGTAGACGGTCTTTAAATACAAGGAGTGTTGGAGTGTTACCTAGATTGTAACGAACCTGGTTAGTAACGATAGACCAGTCAAGGAGAGCGTTTTTGGAAAAGAATAAAATCACCCTCAGTAACCGTGCACAACTCAGTCTTCTCACTTTTCAAGGTTTGACCCTCACAAATTCACTGACAGTTCCTATGTCATTTAAGATGTTTTCCTTGAAGACATAAGCACGCATTTTTCATGCCTTCTAAGCTATAACTTACAAAGCAGTAATGACTAGGAAAAAAAACTTGAAATGTCGAAGGCCACTTGTCAAATCTGGTTGATCCACCTAGTCATAATACAATGTCCTGTCATAAGTCTTGACATTGTATACTCCTACTCATCTACTCAAGTTGGAGCACCAACTTCCTCATCATCAAACTTAGACTAAAATCTACCAAGTAATCTGTCTGACCCAGGCCACAAAAATCTTTCAAAGAAGAACCCTCCTAAGAACCAATCAGACATACACAATACTCTACACTAAACTCCAAGCTTACTTCTTTCACATAGACTCAGTTGAAAAATTGATCGTGATGTCAAGACATCATGTCTGACATCTCACCTCCATCCACAAACCTCTCTTTAAGCCTTACAATTATTCTGCAGAGAAAAATAAATTCTTCCAGAAAAAATTCATCATTGTTTCTTAGACCATTCCTAAGAGGTATGAACAATCCTTGATCAAAATACCAGCCTCACAAAGCTAGAACATCCAGAACCACATACAGGTACACAACTCCCCATGCCACACATAATAACACTCCCCCCTAAGAATAAATCCCAAACACATGAAGAATCACTTGATCATTTTCATGTACAATTAGTAGCTTCACACTCTTTATTCTATAACACACTCCTCCTGAGGACATACACTCACTACAGAGAAGAAACAACTGGATTCTCTCAGACATAAACAACTTTGTTCCTTGAGGATAACTCCAAGCAAACCTGTACTATTTCAACTCTCACATCAGAGGCATATGCACATCGAAATAAAAACCTCACAAAACACCTTAGAGACACACAAGTTCTCTTAACTCCTTAGTTTAGGAAAAATGTCATGTACACTTGGATATACATCATGCACACACTTCTCAACAAAATAAGAGAACTTCCCCAACCTTCTTTCTTCACAAGATACAAACTTAGCACAACCTCCTTCTGAGGTACATGTATCAGAAAAAACCACCTCTTTACATAAGGATTAGGATATTTGGTCTGACAACCTCTTTCTGAACATCACGACATGAGCTAGCACAAGTGGTTAATCATGACAGATAGTCATGACATACATTCACATCACAATCTACAACAGTCTTTGGCTAATAGCTTTACTCCTTACTACACCATGAATATATAATTCACTTCTGATCCAAATGGTGAGTAACAGACCCCACACTATGAACTCCAAATTATCTCCCATGGATAAACAATTTTCCTTACTGGAGAGATAATCAACTGAGATGATGTTTCAACATCAGTTAAGACATCAGTCTCAATCATATGAACCTTCAACTTTGGTTCTAGAGTCATCATCCAAAGAAGAAACTATTTGCATTGTAATCCATACACTTCCCTTTGCAAGGAACACATGAGGATCATAATAGGTCACAGTTGTAGCAGATCAAAGACCATCATAAAACGCAGAATACCACAGAGAGAAATAGACTCTCACAAGCTTCATGAAGCTACAACCCAGAAGCATAATGTTAAAACATCCTGTCTGGCATTACAAAGTTAACAACCATCCTTAAGCATCCAAAGAGGATATTCCCTCTAAAACATACTAGTATAACTGACAATAAACACCAAGGTATAGACTAAGCATCATACCATAAATAAACTTCTCAGCACAAAATTGTATTACCTCTGTCCTACAAGGCTCCATATTATACAAACCACAAAAAAGACACCATAAGATGAGGTACATCAGCAGTTGCAAAGGCTAATGTTCCAACATGTGGTGTCTCCATAATCAGTGGCCACAAACATGAACACGTAGTTCCTTGAAGCACCTACAAGAAATAGCTTTTATTTGATACATCTTCCTCTATAAGTGGCCAATTAGAAATCCCTACACAAGAACCTTGACTATGTGGGAACAACATCAAGACTAGAACCTCCAGATCAAAGACTCCCTTTACTCCAGATAGGTATAGATTGAGAAATCAAAAACCTAAAGAGATCACCTTTTAATAAGAAGAGACACCATCATTATTCATTATTGTCATAACCATCCTTGAAAATCTCCTTCATCACAACAGACCAAATGTTCCATATTCTCATAGACTTGATTATGAAATCAAGTTTGAAAGGTACCAACTACAGA